CGTTTTTTCGCTTAAAAGTTCATGCGCATGGGAGGAGCCCCTTTCCCCACTCGCTTTACTTCTCGGTCCGTGGGGTGGGGAGCTTTCTTTTTAAATTGTCAAAGACGCTTTAGTCTGACTCACGTTCATATTGGTCTTCTGACCTCGCTTAGTCTTTAATTTGACTGCTCGATCCCCAGCGCTTGTCCTGGTCAGCGTCACTAGGTTCCATACGGACACTCGCAGGAGGGACCATCGGGGCGAAGGGACGCCTCAATTCCCCAGCATCGTGCTGGCGAAGAGGCGACCTCTCAAAAGCCCCATGGCTAGAAGCCCTTCGCCGGGCCTCTTGGGGGGCAACGAGCCTGCGTACCCCCTCCTTCCCGCTCATGCGCAGCTCGCATCCCCGGGAGGTCCGGGAGATGCGACTGCTCAGCATGCCGCCATCCACCGGAAGTCCCGTGGTTTGCTTTTTTTGAATACATCAAACGCATCAACCATGTCAGTATAAGCTACCACAAAAATATAAGAACTCTGTGTTCTACTAAATATTCACGTTCTCTTCGCAAAGAGTTAAAGCAATCTGCTCGATTGTTAGAGATTTCATGTTACTTGTTATAGATGTTATGAACGTATCTTAGATTTACTGTATTTGGATATATTTATTAAAACATTCAAACTGTTTTTCTATGCTATATCTTTTGTGTTTTATGTTTTTATATAAATTAATAAAAAAGTTAATTGCAAAAAGTAACAATAATAACTACAGATATACCAATTCAGGCTCTTCAATACAGGTAAAAATATACAGAACAGTGTTAATGTTTTAGCTAATTTTCAAAACATTAACTAAAATCTTTCTATTATCTTGCAGGTAAATCTCCATCATATCATCCACCCAAGTAAACCAAACAATAAAACAGGAAGACAACTTTATTAAAATATGGTATCCTATTGTAGAGTATTTGACACAACATGGAGTCTTACCAGTTAATAATTATTATAAAACCTTATGATACCTTTGAATGAGAACTAGCAGTTCTTAACACGTTTTGTCAAGACTATAACCTACAAAATGTGTACCAGTTGCTTCTCGCTTAAACTTTCTGTTTGTCTGTTTGAACCCTCACCAACCAGTGTGACTCCTTGATCTGTTGAGTTATGGGGCTTGCGCCTAACCTTTGGGAGGGGCTGTGGCTCAGTGCTACAGCATCTCAACGTAAGAGACGCCAATGTTGGACCAGACCAATGGACCTTCCAGTCCAACACTCTGTGTCACACAGTGGCCAAAACCCAGGTGCCCTCAGGAGGTTCA